GGGGGGGGGGGGGGGGGGGTTTTAAAACATCATAAGATGAATAGATGTGAAAAGAAGAGAAGAAGTTCCAAGAAGTTACATCAGTAGCATCCATGTCTATGTTGAGTGTCTCCACATAAGGCGAGGCTCGCAAAAAGCCAGCTACTCCATACAAGTTAATCTTTTTCATATGCAACTCTAGGGTCAGATGTTTGCATTTTGATTCTGGAATTAGCACCCCTTTGAACTGGAACATGCACAGGACCTGGTGCAGCAATCCCAACCAAAGTAGTAAAGAATGAAAAAAAGCAATAACAACAAAAAGAATGTACTCCACAGTCCACATCAGAGTGAATCGAACCGTCTAAACACTCTATGCTACATCAATGTACTAATATCCCGGTTTGTACAAAACAATCAGAGAAAGTAAGGACTTTTGAGTTAAAAACAAACCTCTGTGAACCAAGTCCCGATTGTTAGCTCCGTTGCACAACTCACCTTTTGAAGATTATCTTGTACGAGGGTCCTAAGAAGTTGATGATAATCACGACAACTGTCTTCCTCTATATTAAAATGTTCAAGAAGTTCAAACTTGATGTCTTTGATACACTTAAGGTTGAAAGTGAGGCAGGCATTTAACAAGGAGGACACATCTACTAGCCTGCACTTGAGATCATAAAGATCTCCTGAAATCTCCAAATGCTGAAGATACGGAGCAATAATTTCCAAGGAATGATCACTTCTATCATTAGCAATCCAATAACCTTTCAAATTCAGTGTCTTTAATTTGAAGGAATTAATTTCTAGGCGACTAAAACCCGCAACCAAAGATAATTCTAAAGTTTCCAAAGAAGGACATCCAGACAGTAAGTTCACAATATGGTCCTCAGATAACAGAAAAAACTCCAACTTTAGGCTCTTTAAAGACTTCCACGCTATGACCGCATCACGACTAAAGCAACAAAATATAAAATCTAAATTTATCAACGACGAACATGTACCGAAAGATTCAGGCCAAGTGCAAGTGCTATCATCATCAGACCAGAAAACAACATTTTCCACTTTTTTCTCAACAGCAAAACTAAGACATCGACTGATTTGCGACAGGTGTTCATCCAGGATACTACTATCTGACCAGTTTACATACGTGTCACTGCAGTCGAGCTCCAATTTTTTTTATTTTGGGAGAAAGGGAATGGGCTAATACATAGTCAGCAAAGGATACCGGGTTTTCTGCTTTAAGGTAATCTCTACAATTGAAACTGAACTTATCAACTAAAGTAGAGAGATAGCGCCACCTATACATGTTGCGAATGCATCCTTTGTCGGCAAAAGAGAGAGAATTTGAACTAGGAGCGACTCCGGCAACTCACTGAGTCGGTCTAGGGTTTCTTCAACTTCAGTCTCTTTCTGTTTCTTCGACGGTGGAGTAATTGTCAAATTACTACTTCTAAACTCGTCGTCTTCGCCGGAAGTCATGATTTTGGGACCAAACGGATTGGGAGTTGGAATCGTCTGTTCAAAAGGGCAGCAGCAAACACTTTAACGGTTTCTTTTGCGTTTGTCTTTTTCGAAAACCCGAATGACTGACGCAAACAAAATGAATAAACACATTTGACAATCTGACCCAAATGGAGTAACTCTTTTCCAGAAATACTACTCCGGCCTCATTTGTTTGCACTTAATGGAGGTCTGAATCTTAATCATTCAAATCTCAGATATTAAGTAAGTTTGTTTTTAAAGTCTAAATCTTAATTATTCAGATCTTAATCATTAAGTGTGTTTTTTTTTTTTGACTTCACAACTACTTATTGGGCCTGAATAGGTCTGTATGATTAAGATTTATAACAGAGACTTAATTTCATTAAGATGCTATTACATATTCATAATTAACTGCCGCCACTGCCTACCATTATCAACTACCATCATGCCACCACCACCACCATACTCAACCACTACCACCACCACCACCACGCCACCATCATCCTCAATCATAGCCGCCACCATTATCGACCACCACCCACTATTCCCACCACTCCGACCACCATAATCATTCTCACCCACAATCAACATTCATCCACCTCAACTACCACAACTGACCACTCCATCACCATCAACAACCACAGCCGGCACTGCCCATCATTATAACCTACCACCACCAACCCACCAACTTCATCAGTCACAACTACTACCACCACCCGCCATTATTAACTATCACCACCCACCACCACCATCCTCAATCATAGTCGCCACCACTACCAATCACTACTAGCTACTAGCATGAACTACCATCATCAACCAAAAATACCACCAACCACCACCTCTAGTCGGCATTCACCCGTTAGCCATCACCACCAACAACTATCGTATTTTAAAAAAACTATATATTTTATTGATAGAATTTTAGATTAGTTGGTATTTCATTTGAATTTTATGTTTATTAATTTTCAGTAAAGATAAATTTTATACATTCAGATGTTAAAAATCAAACAGTCTTAATTATTTCTGTTAAGATCTTAATATACATCTTAATATATTCAGATGTGTATTCAGATTCAGATGTCTTAATCTTAATACACATTTTGATATTCAGATGTGTATTCAGATTCAGACGTCTTAATCTTAAGAAAAACAAATGAGGCCTCCCTCCCTTCCAATTTACGTGAACGGAATTTAAGAAAAAATAATACTTTTGGAATTTGTAATTCTAAACAAGTCAAAAAAGAGTTCAAAGTATTTGTGTGGTTATAAAAACTTCTCGTTAAGGGTAGAATTGTAAGTTTAAGCTAAATTATTTTCAAATTTAGAAAGGGGTCCTTCTTATTGGAACGGACTAAAAAGGAAATAGGTTCACATAAACTGGAACGGAGGGAGTAACCTTATTTCACCCCTTAAAAAATAATAAATGAAGTACATAATTTATTATAATACTCATATTAATTGATGTATATTTTTAATAAATTTGAAAAAATAATTTAAAATGAGTAATTAATACTATGGGTATAACAGGAAAAAAGAAATTATCTTCTCTTGATATGCCAAAAGTGACAAGTAAAAGTGAAAATCTATATTTAGAATACTGGACAAGTAAAATATGCGGAGGAAGTACTAAGAGCATGTTGGGATTGACTTACAAAAAGTGGTTTTTCAGCAGAAATCGTTTTTAAGCTAAAAAGTAATAAGTTGGGGTTTCTCAGCTTATTGCTTTTGGCTTGTTTAAAGCAATTTTAACTTTGCTAAACACTGAAAAAGCTAAAAAGAACTTAAAAGCTTATTTGACCAACTTAAAAGCCAATCCAAATACCCTCAAAATAAGATTTTAATTTTTATCTACTTAAAAATTATTACTATTTACTAGTACATTATTATGAGGTTATTTAAGAGACAAAAGCACGTAGGTTAGCAACATAAAAAAGAGAGCACAAATAGTAAATAATATGCTAGAATTAGTTAAATGTAAAAGCAATTAATTATAGTGGTAGAAAACTAAAGGATAAGGTGTTAAATAAGTTGAACGACAAGATAAATTGTTTAAATAAACAATATTCCCTCCGCTCCATAATAAGTGATTAATTTGTCTTTTTATTGTGGTCCAAAAGAGTGTCCATTTATAAAATCAAGAAAAAATTCAATTTGTTTTTCCAAAATTAGCCTTATGTACGTATTCCTAAAAAGTCTTTTACTCCTCATATTAAATTATGCTGCAAAATTTAATTAAGGTTAGTTAGTTACACTAACTATTTTATCTAGAATTTAATACTCCCTCCGGTCCAAAATAAGTGATTTTTTAGCTGTTTTCACACAGATTAAGAAATTCACTTTTTAGCATTAATTAGCAATGAAATTGGCCATATTAACCTTTGCTATCTCTTAACATAAATACTTCTAACACATACTCCAACACTATTTACTCCAGGGGCAATGTAGGAAAAAAAATAATTAATTCATTCTTGAAATCTGAAAAAATTACTTATTTTGGACCACAAAAAAGAGGCCAAAAAATTACTTATTTTGGATCGGAGGGAGTATTTTCTTAATGAGTTTGCCCAAAGCAAATTGATCACTTATTGCGACCAGAAGGAGCGAGTAGTGCTAAGTTTAGAGATCCGTCTATTATTTGACCAAAAGCATTTAATGAACAGAACTTCTTAATCAATGTCACAACTATGAGTGGTCCGTCTTGTTGAACGGAAAACTGTAACATGAAAAGAGAAAATAATTTTCAATAACAAGAGAAGCAAAATTTAGTCTTTCTTTACAAAGAAAAAGTTTTTCTTTCTTTGTATTAGGCCTCAAAATGTGTATAACTGGACAATTATGGGGTCTTTTGGTATCAAAATATGTAGAGTCCGTTTCACATTATAAATACTCGGGTCTCTGTATTTATATAAAATAGTTGGCTATTAGTATTTAGTTAAAGAGGTTTTGACACAGTTACTCACAAAAATAAAACTATTTACCCTTGTCTATCCATTTATTTTTCTACCCATAAACTAATTACATTTCCTACCCTTAGTAGGTTTTGTGGGGAATTTTCTCTTTATTCTCCAATTCTTTTTTATTTCTATGCTTCTTTTCTTTTCTTTTTTCTTTTCTCCTTTTCTTTTTTCTCGTTTTCTTCTTATTTTTTTCTTTTTTCCTATTATAATTTCATTTAACTTCTTTTTTTTTATATTCTTTTTCTCTTCGGAAGAAGGTGGGTGTGGCCCCTGTGGATGACAAGATGCGGGAAGAAAGGCTCAGATGGTTCGGACACGTGCAGAGGAGAAGCCTTGATGCGCCGGTAAGGAGGTGTGAGCGGTTGGCCGTGGTGGGTACGAGAAGAGGTAGAGGGAGCCCTAAGAAGTATTGGGGAGAGGTGATCAGGCAGGACATGGTACGAATGCGGATTTCCGAGGACATGGCCCTTGATAGGAAGGTCTGGAGGTCAAGCATTAGGGTTGTAGGTTAGGGGGTAGTAGAACTTTTCTTATTTCTTTCCGGGGGTGAGGCGGGGTTGGATTAGGGTTGGCCTTAGATGGCTTGCAGTTTATGTTGAATACACACTATACTTGCTGTTTATCTGAGCCCCGGGCCTGGTTACTGTTATTGCATGTCATCCATCTTTTGATTGTTATGCTTCTGTTACTATTACGATTTCTACTGGAGTTACTAATGAATTGTCTTTTCTTGTTTTTCTTATTTCCATCTTTCTGAGCCGAGGGCCTGGTTACTGTTATTGCATGTCATCCATCTTTGCTGTTTATTCTTTTTTTTATATATATTATTACTAAAGAAAAATCAAATTGTGTACCAATTAAATGTAGCTAATACAACCAAAAAAATATTAACTAACATTTGATACCAGTATAGTATATAGTTATACCAACAGGGTATACAATTGCACGCAAAGAGTTAAAAAAAGTTTAATTCAATTATTAAACTGAAATAATATCAGTTGTCAATAAAAATTTCAAAAGTTTCTAAAAGGATCTAATTGTAAGAGTATACCGTTACATTATATAACATACTATAATTTTTTTTTTTTTTTTTGCATTTTCAATTTGCCTCTCACGCCGGGTAAAAGCTTAAAGCAAATTAAAAGGGAAAAGGCAAGTGAATTTACGGGTAATAAGTATACTATTATAGTATATTGTATACTATTACAACATATTGTTACAGTATATTGCATATTATTACAGTATACTATAACAATATATTGTATACTATAATAGTATGCTGTTGTAGTATAGCTATATACTCCTACAGCATATTGTATACCGTAGCGGTATACTGTAGCTGTGTTCTTCTTTGATTTTCAACTGAAAATTTCGATCTCAATCACCTCAAATCAGCTCCAAATGCTATCAAATTTCAGTATGAACTTCCAGAAGGTACTATAAGCAATATTTAACAGCACCCACTTTGAATCAAACAAGAAATCTTCAAAAATAAAATTGAGCTTCAAGCCCAACAATGGTGGATATTAAAATACACATAAAAATTTAGATCTGGGAAGCTTACTCGAAAATACTATAAGCAATATTTTATAGCACCACATCGAATCAAACAATAAATCTTCAAAATAATAGCACCACTTCAACAAAGCAATCATGAAATAAGAGGCGAATGGTGGCAGGGCCAGAGGCAGGGGCATCTTTGAACATCTGGGAGGTTACTGAGCCAACGAGAATTTCAACTTTAGGACAAGTCTTGGCATAGTAGTTATGTAAACGCATGGGTAAACTAGGATGAACTTGTTGGGACTAACCATGTGAATATTAATCAGACCTCAGTACTGAATATGGACAAGGATTTCTCATCGTCTTCCTTAATAGAATTGATGATCAAAGCAACTTCCTTCATGTTTGGCCTTACATCTGGTGATGGCCTTACAAGGATTATTTTTTATATAGGAAAAAATACGATGGGTATAAAGTGAGGAAGGTAAAATGAGGAGGAAGAAGAAGAAAGGCGGGTAAATAGTTTGGGGAGCATGGGTAGGAGAATAAATAGTTTGGGTCTGGGCATTAAAGGATAAATAGTTTGAAATTAATGGGTATAAAGTGAGATTTTTTGCGTATTTTTGAGTGCATCATACTATGCACCATTATATTTAACA